AATAAAAACAAACCTTAGTTTTAGGTAGCACTTCCCCTGTCAAAATTATTCCTTCAGAACGCACTGTAACAATTGGAAGTATTTTTCCCCCAGGCCTCTTCCATGCTGCCTCTATATCCCAGGATCTGATCCCAGATTATCTTCTTATCCCAGATTATCTGGCAGTGGAGACTCATATAATCCAGTTTAAATCAGATAATCTGGGAACGGATCCTGGGATACAGGCCAGTGTAGAAAGGACCCTAGGTGAATACTGATAACTGAAAATGAAAGAGCAGATTTATTTTTGAGAAGCAAGAAATAAAGCAAAAGCTTTCTAACTATTTAGGAATAATAAGACTTATCATATGACCTCAATAATTGTACTTACATATAGCTTACGAATAACTGATTGTCAACACAACAAATGTATGTACTTTTTTATATTCACACCACTTACAAAACAAACATTTTCCCCTTCTACTGTTTGCTAAATAGTGCAAATAAATAGGAAAACATTGTGATTTTTCCTCAGTGACAAATATATGAATATGTCTATTTTCAATGTAGAAAGAAAAACACTACCAGACACACACAAAAATATGTATCAGAAACAAGTAACCTTTTCTATATGCTTAAAAGTTTATCAAGTGATAAGTACTAGCTATGATATGAATGTAACCTTCCTGGCAGGAAGTAGATATGGTTTCACACCAAAAATAATTTTTAATTAATCTAATAGGTGCACATTTTTGCAGCTTTTTATAGAATTAACATTCATTCATTATAGTCGATAGCTTAATGCTGTTTTGGATCAATCTAGCCACTGTGTTTCAAGTGCTACCTGCATTATGGAAAACTGCCCACCCCAAAAATATAACAAGTGTTAAATAATATAATCAAAGAGACGTGATCAATCTGTTTTTCTCTTCCTATGTATAGCCTAGGGCAACATTAATGGTAGCATACTGTTTGAATTATGGAAATAGCTAGACATAACATACCAGTAACATTGCTCTATCCTACTAACCAATTCTACTCATAAACCTTATTTGCAATTCCAGTGCAATTTCTCCCACTAACTCTTCGAAGATAATGGTTTATAGCAGTTTCCCTTCATCCACAACAATCAACCACAAATTACTATGAACATTACAGTACATAATTGAATCTGTGATGGTGATTACAGATAAAAGACTTCAAATACAGGAATGTGTCGTATTTATCAGAGAACTAAGTTACCTAAATTTTACTGTGTAAAAAATCAGGTGGGGAAAATTAACTGTGAGTTCATTAGAATGTTCTAGACTTTGCATGTTAATTCAGGGTCATTTTATTTTATTTCAATTTTTCACCTTAAAAATGGAAAGCAGCTTTGTAAAGGCCTACAAATTCTGCAATCTCTGGATCTACACTGCCTTATATCCCAGGATCCGATCCGAGATTATCTGCTTTGAATTGGATTACATGAGTCTCCACTGCCATATAATCAGGGATAAGCATATAATCTGGGATCGGATCCTGGGATATAGGGCAGTGTAGAAGGGGCCCAAGAAAGTAAGAACCATCCATTAGGTTCTCCATTGCCTTTCTCCCCTTTCTTTCCAAGGTTTCTGTTTCAAGCCGAAAGCTAACAAGTAGCCTTAAATTAGTGACTGAAAGCTAGTACTTGATTATTTGAATACTTGGGGTAGAGTAGGTGTTATGAATTTGTATTTCTGCATTACAGTTCATAAAAAGGTACTTTTAAAAGCTAAAACATAATTCAACAGAAAAAGGAGGATGTACCTGAGGTGAAGAAGAGTATGATTGTACAACCCCAAGGGGGGAATAAAGAGATATTGGAGGGAAATATTCCATTTGCATTGAACCAGTACTTACAACCATAAAGCATCAGTACTGTGTATTCAGTGGAAATTTGGGTCACCCTAGCAGAGAGCAGCAGATACAGAAAGAGATACAGAAACAGCACCAACATGACCCCTTAAAATGACTGCTTAGCATCTGCAGGTACGCAGCACAGCTTTAAGGAAAGATGTTCAGTTATCCATCACAGAACATATAGACCTATGGGAATGACATAAGCATACTATTTAGCACACTATACAGAGAAATTGCATATTCAAACAGAGATAGAATCTGAGAGCTGGGTCAAAAGCGTACAAGAAAAACAATGTTTGAGGCAAAAAAGCAAGCAAATGTTTGTAAGAGATTTGATTTCCTAACATGCCAAAAGGCACTAAAAACAAACAAATTACGGTAAATTTTACTGCACAACAGAAATGAACCAAACAACTAACCAGTTTGGGTTTCAACACCCACATATGAATAATCTCAGATCCAAAATACACATATACACCTGAAAATGCTGCCATTTTAATGTGCTGAGGCCACAACAAAACTTGATTTGGTTTGTTATAATATACAAGATACAACCCACCTCCAAATGAAAACTTACTGCTAAACACGTTCAAATGTGATAGCAAGGCCATGTACGTATAGGACGTCTGCATCTTGTTTGTATTCAATGACACCCGAGTATACTGGCATTTACCTATAAAATCAACTTAACCACCTGCTTTCTGTTCCTTTCAAAAAGAAAAAATTAAATAAGCAGTTTCGTCCTAGTCATATCTCTGTTATTGTTTGCTTTTAACGTAATGTCCCCTTTGGCTTCCTCTCTGCAGTTTACACGGAGCTGGATTTAATCAGAAGTTCTAAGCATTCTCCTAGATTTTTGGGATTTTTTAAAAAGTTCTTTTGAATTGGAGGCACCATTATGCCCATGACCTGGCCATAAAATAACCAATCTGGAGTCCTCTCCGGCTCCAACATGGTTTGACATTTGGCAGGGTGTTTGCTGAATATCAAAAAATGATCCTTTGGCCCATTCATACAACTCTTTGGATCCTGGCCATCGTTTCTTCCATGTTAAAAAGGGAAGCATTTCTACAGAATCATGGCCATTGAATAAGAATAAATTCCACCAGCACTTTAGAAAACTGATAGGCATGATAAACACGTACATCAATTTCTGTGAAGCATAAACACTTTCACAAAAGTGTACTGTGTTGATCAAGCCCTGGAAAAGTTATTTTTGGGGACTGCGATTCCCAGAATCCTTCACCAGCCTGACCAATGGATTCTGGGAGTTGTAGCCTAAACATTTTCCCCCAAGCTCTACTCTTCTTAGCTTGAATTATTGGTTTCAGAAGCAAAAGAGGCTGGGTTTACATTATACATACCATTTAGTATTACTCTGGATATTTAGAATTGTGTTTACCCACACGCAAAACTTTCCTGAGTCTCAATTATACAATATTTAATTATCTAAGGGTGTCTGCAGGACAGCTGTAACGCCCTATGTCAATTTTACTACAACAACAAAAATATTATTAGCTTGGCTGTTTCTTTTGGGAACAAAATCCAGTTTTAACTTGAGAAGTCATGAAGGAAAACAGCAGACGAACTGGAAGCTGTTCATGACATTTTAAAAAATGTTTTAATTGTCCTTTAGCAGAGTAATGGCACTTCATAGTTCTGAATGTGATAATTTTATCTATCTAAAAATAATCTATTGTGTATCTGTTCTTCTCAACTTTCCTCCCTGATATAATGCACGCAAAATGCCAGCCAAAGGAACACATAATTTACATCTGCTCCTTACAATAAATAATCTACATATTTCCAGGTCAATCAATAACGAGGAATAAAAGGGTGAAAACCCTCTTTTTCTTCTTATGTGAACAGAAGACCATCTCATACATGCTGAATAGCTTCCATTAGAATAAGAAAAACAATTTAAAGCAGTGATCTACAGCACAGATGTCAACTATTGCTCACACACCATTCACATGCATTCAAGATTAGGTTCAATGTGATGAGTTTCCAGATTAGTACAGCAGCGAAAGAAACTGTCTCTAACATTTCCCATGAACCATTACATTAGCTGGATGAAATAATGACAACTGCAATGGATTAATCAAAATAAGCAGTGAAGTGTTATCCTTCTGAGAGGAAGAAAGAGAGAGGGCTGCTAAAAATACCACAATTTAGGCAATAATTTGAAGAGGACCCTGTTGCCTCAAGGTTTCCAGCAGCCATTGCCTCTGTCCCTGGCACATCATGTGGGAGAACATTCTGTCTTTACTGTGGGTTTCTGAGCCTGTTCTGTGACAACAGTGAGTCACACCACAGCAAGCAGCCTGAAAAAATCCCATCACACAAGCTATACCTGTCCTTGTTCATTTCAAAAACCATAGGCTAACAAACCGTAACTTTCTTTTCAAAGGAAAAGTAATTTTTTGATGGGTTGCGGGAGGTCTGTATGCCTATTTTCTACATCTCAATTTTTTTTAAAAATCACAATTCATCTTTCAAAGTCCTATCACATAGGCAGGGCAACCCTGTGTCCTGGAGGGGGAAGACATGTAACAATTGGTATGGCTACAACGCCATTAAAAAGTGCCTTGCAATCTCCACTGCCAATTTCACAGCCCACTCTCTTTGTGGGACAGAGGGACAACCTAATAACACATATCTCCGAGTTGTTGAACATTATGCTTTAGGGGTGGGGGAAGAGTGGATGATGGTAGAGAAGGACTACTCTCATTTTTACATCAAAGTGCATTTATCCACCAGGAGCAATGGCAGCATTTCCCTTCCTCAGAATCGATTGCACTAACTCAGAGGTCCAAAGTCCTACTAGAATCTCTGAGGCACTCCTGGTTCCAAGAGACAAAAAAATAAAGTCACAATCCAGTAGTCTTTGCAGAACCATAGATTGAGAAAACTAACCCGTTTCTATTTCTCAAAAAAACAAAAACAAAAAAGCAAAAGCTTCATTTTTATAGGGATCACATTCACCATTTCCTCCGATCTTCTCAAGACTCACAGTGTTGAAATGGGACTGATCGGCCTACAATGGATTGCACATCACCCAAGGAGAAAGGAAGGCATGGAAAAGGCATAAAAGTACATTTTATACTGCTTCACAACCACATTTATCGGGGGCATGGAAGGGAGGGAGGAGGTTTTATTGCTGTTTCAGTACAAAATATAGTATGGTATCTAAAATGAATTGAACAAGATCACAAAAGCCAGGATTTTCACACTATAGGAAGATGGCTGGAGGTGTTGCGCGAAGAACTGGATAAAGGCGGGAAAAAGATAGGAAGGACAATGAAGTTAAACCTGGGATATCAGTTGCATATTGAAACTTGGGGATCGGGACTGCTTGGTCAGAGGAGCTCCTGATGAGAGGCCATCTTTCCCATTTCCAGCTTGGCCCAAGCGGTCCTCCTGCAGACTGATCGTTGAAAACCGATTGGTATTGCCTGCTGCCAAGTTAGTGACACCATTACCGCCAACACCGGAACCTGCCTGACTGCCATTCACATAGTCAAATGATTTTGTGGAAGAAGCACTAGCAGTCCGGATCAGGCTCACACTATTGGCTTTTGGCACCACTTGCCCAGCAGGTAGGCTCAAGTGTTTCTTCGTAGGTGTCATTTCAACTGCGTCCGTACTGAGGTCAATGGACTGGTGCAGGTACTGCTTGCGGCCAGATTCCCGGGGGCTCTCGATGGGTTTGGTGGCTGAGGCCATTTCCTTTTCCTTGGCTGAACGTCCACTCGCTCCTTTTCTTAAGCTCCCTCTCTGGGATCCAGATGAAGGTTTGGTCCCAACCGGCTGGCTGCTCAGGGATGCCCCAGAAGAAAACCCTTCGTCGGCATCATTAAGGTTCACAGATTCTTCTCTATCATTCACACCCTCAGCACCTAAAAGTCAAAAGAAATCAGACTTAGAAATTAAAACATAACTGGGATTTTTTTTTTAGCATGTTAAAGACTGCACTGAATACAATTCGCCTTTGTTCCATCAAACCTTTCATTAAACCTATCTCTGGGTTGCAGTAGCTTTATTTTAGGAAAACCGCTTAACATTGCAGTCCTGAGGAAAATTCCACTGAATTTAATCCTCCCTACCAAACATACTTAGGATTGTAGCCACAAAGTCTCAAACCAGTGGGTCCCCAGGTGTTTTGGCCTACAACTCCCAGAAATTCCAGCCAGTTTACCAGCTGTTAGGATTTCTGGAAGTTGAAGCCCAAAACATCTCGAGACCCAACATCTTAAACCACATCTATTTACCATAAACAATATCAATAGGGAAGTTATCAGAAATTACTATTTACTACTACTGGTTAATATACTGGACTGACTGCATTAAACCTTTTCTCTGGAAACAGATAAGACATACCAAAGATTGCAAAATAATACTAAGTAGGAAGGAAGTAATTTTTATCTGAGTGGACATGTTTAGGGTTGCTTACTTTTCTGAAACTAAGTCTTAAAGATCAAACTGATTAAATAGAATGTGATATTTCATGTGTTTATTTTTTCAAACTAGCAGCTTTGGAAGACTAATAACCATTGAGGGTGAAGCATTAGGGCAGTGGTTCTCAACCTGTGGTTCCCCAGGTGTTTTGGCCTACAACTCCCAGAAATCTCAGCCAGTTTACCAGATATTAGGATTTCTGAGAGTTGAAGGCCAAAACATCTGGAGACCCACAGCTTGAGAACCACTGCATTAGGGGAAAGGGAGTAAAACTCTTCCACATCCCATGTACACTCCACTTCACTGTCTTTGTTGCTTTATTAGCAATGATCTCAGGAGGTGCAATTTAGAAAAACAAACATTAAAACTACAGTTATATGTGTACTATTATATTATATATGCACTATATACTCTCAAGTATTGCTACCAACACTTTTAAGGCAATATTTCTGCCTTTAGATGAAATATTTCAAAATTAATAAAATTAATAACACAACAATGTTGTTTTTGAAACTATAATGTATGAAAGATGGAAGTACATAATCAGCTTTGTATCATAGAATCATTGATTTGGAAGAGACCTTGTGGGCCATCCAGTCCAACCCCGTGCCAAGAAGCAGGAAAATCGCATTCAAAGCACCCCTGACAGACGGCCATTCAGCCACTGTTTAAAAGCCTACAAAAAAGGAGCCTCCACCACTCTCCGGGGCAGAGAGTTCCACTGCTGAATGGCTCTCACAGTCAGGAAGTTCTTCCTCATGTTCAGTTGGAATCTCCTTTCCTGTAGTTTGAAGCCATTGTTCCGCATCCTAGTCTCCAGGGCAGCAGAAAACAAGCTCCCTCCTCCCTATGACTTCCCCTAATACATGGCTAATGGAAATAGAAAATTGGATGGATAATGGAAAACTGGAGATGGTTAATGGAAAATTCCTATCAAAACTTGGCAGACTTTGCTTCTCTGTATTGATATTACCAATATGCATCACTTTCCTAAGACACTCTCTCGTAATGGTCTCTATCTTGTGAAATGTCATTTGAAAGCTACTAGCACTTATTTACCCCAATGATGTTAGCAATTTCCTTGCCAATATCTGACCCATTTGAAACAGAGAGCACCAATACAAAGTTTTGTCACGTTTTATGACATTCACATGGTGAGAACCTCAATCATTAATGCTGATATCGTATAGAAGCATTTATAGGACCAACTCAAAGTAAGAATGTAAATAAGATTGGCCTCTTGTATCAGAAACAGCTCTAACTAGTTAATAAATGCACCTGTGATGCTCAACTACGGTAGTTTGACAATTTACTACTATCTTCCATTGCACAACGTGGAAGCCATTGTTCTAGCTCAATTCATTATCATGATTGTGCAATCTTCTATTTTGTCACGCAATTTTAATTCAATTTATCCTGCCTTTCATCTCTCTAAAGTCTCCAGAGAAAAGATTGTAACAGTGGCAGTCTTAAGAATCTAGAATTAATTTCAACAGTCAGGGGAACACAACAGTTTTCATACGGGGAATCTGTTCTATTCATTTCTAGATAATGAAAACAGCTCTTTAGAAGCACTATATCTTTTTATACAATGCTTACCAATACATCAGGAAAGACATTTAAAAAATAGCCACTTTGCACATGGTATTCTTCACATCCCCATTAGGAAAAAAAAGCCATTTAATACATACCTAAGACAGAATACCCTGAAAACAAAAGCACCCTTTATCAGATGCAGCATTTCATATTAGTGAATTAGACCATCATGCAAAGCTAGATGATAGTGCAGTTGGGCTGAACAGCGGCAGCTATTACTGTCACCGACACACCACCTCTCTCAGCCCTTTCTTATTCTAATGGAGAGCACAAGGAGTGTCCAATGAGCTGCAAGGTCAATGCTTTCCAACTGTACAGCTGCAGTCTGATGATGCCCAAGGATAAACAGCAAGATAGTAGACCAGAGAGCATCTTTGCGAAAGGTGTTCCCTCCACTTTGAGAAAAGAGTCAGAGAGGCTCAGTGTGAATGTCTGGGATGCTACCACCATGCAGCAGCCCAGGCAGCCCAGCAGCACTCCAGAGTGAGAGGTGGGCAAGGCAGCATGCAAGGGAGGGCCGTTCAAGCCAGATCAATGACACTCCAGAGTAAGGTTTGAGTAACTTGATACCTTATCATTTTAAATACACAGAATTCAGTTTATCAATATCCGCTATCCTATGGTAGTTCAAGCCTTGAAACAAAACAAGGCTGTGGCAGGGAAAACAAGCAGTTAAATTCTCCCCAAAAAAATAAATATAAATTTTCTTTACTAAAATCAGTGACAGAAAAGAAAAAAAGGGAAGCAAACAAACAAACAAAACCAAAGTAAACAGCTCATTTTCTCTGCTGATTAAATATTAATTCATTTTGGCTCCACCTAGTATTAACCTCTGTTTTTTTATCAGAGTTGCAAACTACCACTGAGCCTCAAGGCTGATGCCATTATCTACTGTGGTATAAGCACACTGGCATTTGCTCCAATCCTTACATACATCTTCATCTGTATGGATTGGAGCAAATGGCAGTGTGCTTATATCACAGTAACCATGGAGCCCCCGGTGGCACAGTGGGTTAAACCCCGGTGCCGGCAGAACTGAAGACCGACAGGTTGCAGGTTCGAATCCAAGGAGAGGCGGATGAGCTCCCTCTATCAGTTCCAACTCCTCATGTGGGGACATGAGAGAAGCCTCCCACAAGGATGATAAAGCATCAAATCATCCGGGCGTCCCCTGGGCAATGTCCTTGCAGACGGCCAATTCTCTCACAACAGAAGCAACTTGCAGTTTTTCAGGTCGCTCCTGACACGACGAAAAATAAATAAATCTGTATCTATATAAAGGACACAGACCATGGAGGTGTCTACGTACAACGCCCGCTCTTTGGCATAGAAATGGAGTTGAGCACCCACCCTCAGAGTCGAACATGACTGGACTTAATGTCAGGGGACAACCTTTACCTTTACGTTTATATCAAGCTATAAATACATATACAAATATACAATTTGTACACTATTTCTTCTCCCCCAAAGATGAGCTGCACTTCTGGCTAATCTGCAGAATATTCATCCAGAACTGACACTAACTATTTCATAAAAATGATAAGAATTACATATATCATATATTTGATTAAAAGCACTAAAAAACTGTAACATCAGAAATCATCAGTAGCTAGGGGAAATAATGTTGGTCCCATTATTTTTTAAGTAAGGTCCGTTTTGTTGTAGACACTAGTAGTTCGCACGCATACTGCAATGAGCATGTGCATCGTGTACTGGCATGCCTCGGGAACAACTGTACTCAGTTTCTGCTCTGTAGCTAACCTGTACGGTTCTGTTCTGTGCTTTAAAAATGTTTAAGACTATCAACTCGCCCGCCGCATGTGAGGTTCGCTCAGTGATACAGTTTTCTGCCTGCTGCAGAAATTCATTGACAGATTTGTGAAGTGTATGGTGATACTGTTATGAGTGAAAGCAAAGTGCGTAAGTGGGTATGACAATTCAAAGATGGCCGTGACAACGTCCATGATGAGGGCCGCTCCGGTCGCCCTTCTTTGATTACAATGAACTCTTGGTTATCGGAGCAGGCGGCAAGTTTTTATGAAGAGGGTATTTTAAAATTGGTTCAGAGGTATGATAAGTGTTTGAACAAACTTGGCAACTATGTCAAAAATAGAGTGAAGTATGTACTTTCTGAAAATAAATTTACTTTTTTGAAATAAACTTTCGTTGTGTACTTATGTTCAAACGGACCTTACTTAAAAAATACCCCTCGTATTTAAACAAGAGTGCTGTACATCCTCCACTTTTGCAGGTGTTAAGAATGGAGAAGCCCTGCAATAGTGGAAAAAAACAAATAAAAGAAGCTTAAAAAATGTACAGGAAAACCTCTCAAGGAATTTCAAGGTCCTCCTCTGAAAATAAACCATAGAATCACATTGGAGAACCTAGAAAATGCCTGGAAATGTGTTCTCTGTGGGAATATCTAGGTCTTGCATCGCAACTAAGGTCAACTTGCGACCACAGAATTGCACTGGAGAACCAAGAGGTTCCCTAAATAAAAACATATTAACCAAATTTGTGAATAGCCAAATCTGCAAAAATAACCCGCAAATGTTGAAGACCAACTATTTATTAGTTTTCTGTGAGACATACACTCTAAAACAGTACCAGAAATGAAATTGGACTATCCATCTGGATTTGGAGATTTTGTGACTAAACTCAAACCTATTTCTTTATTTAATCCTACAATACCCCTGGGAAAGACAAGTTCTGCTCAGCTGCAATATAAACTTATTTTTTAATTTACTGCTTTCAGAACTATGCTCTTCACTTTATCTGTCCAGATACCATATTGGACGATGCACGCTCCAAAGGGGGGAAAAAAACATACGGTACAACATTTAAAATTATTACAAAGTTTTAAAAAACTGAAGTGTTAAGTGTTAACTGAAGTGTTAAGGAAAGGGAGTGCTGTAGCACTTAAGCAACTGATTGTTGTTCTTTTTTATAAAAAAAAATCAGTGTGTGAAGATTTCACAGCATCCGTCTGGTCATGCACATGCAATGTTTAGTTAGTACAACAAAATAAGACCAGCTGAAAGAAATGGAGAAAAGTTCTGCTCAGAGCTCATTTACTGAGCATGCTCAAACTCACTCTGCACCAAGAGCAACTACTAAAAGCTTTGTGCTTCCACAATTTTCCACAGACCCTTGGGGCCTTGATTCCCCTGTCACTATTAAATGTCTGATTACACATGATGAATTCATCCCTAACATAATATTAACTCTGCTGGATATTAATCTTCCTTAAGGCAAGTGCAAAGCATGAGCAGTACATACTCTGAAAGTATAATGCCAGCAGTGCCAAGAGGCCGCACCAAAGAGAGGACAGATTTGGAAGAAGTGAAGAACAGCAAAATATATTGACTGCTCAGCAAATTAAATACCCCTACACCATCACCATAGGGACTACAGAATAATTATATGCACTGCATATACATGAAAAAGAATTCATACACTGAAGAATATCACTGTATGAGGCACTATTTTTCTTTTCTCACAAGATGCAAGGTACCTACCAGGACAACCTGGTGAGAAGCATTATCTCAAAATAACTAAAAACATGGTGACATAAGTTCACCTTTATGAAATATCTGATCTTTTTACAGTAATCTCGTGATCAAGGATTAATGCTGCAAACTGAAAGTTCAGCAAATAAAGCAGCACATGAAAAAAATCTTGATTTAAAATTACTCCTCATTGATTGATGATGATTTTCATATATCCTAAGTGGGTTTCAAATTTCCAAAATGATCTGTTTGCTTGGTGCATTTTCTTATTCTGCTTTTAAAAATCCCAGAAAAACAAGAGTTAACATGCTCAGTAACAGGGTGTTTCCATTTAATCCCAAAGTTGCAAGGTGTGGTTTTTTTGCCTTATTCTAGCCATGCTAAGCTGGGTATTAAACGAAGTATCAGAAAAGGAAGTTCTCTCGACGTGGTGCAAGGCATACAGGAGATGTGCACATTCGAAAGAGAAGAGAAAAGTGTACACTTTGGGAAAGTGGAAACACGCTCTAGAGTGACAAGGAATTCTGCTTGGGGAGAAAGAACCAGGATCCTGCCCAAGTCACTGCCTTACTGACTGCTGCCTCCTCATCTCTGTCCTACCCTCAGTTGTGGCTGCTGCCAAGTTGGGCTCCGGTGAGGCATGCTCAGGGCTCCTGAGCACCAGCACGTCCCCCTCTTCCTTGCGTTTGATCCCTAGGTCTGTGGAGCCGTGTAGGATCGGAGATCCGGGAATGCTCAAGTCAGCATCATTTGAGAAGTCAAAGCCATCTGGGATTCAACATATAATATTTTTAGTGCCTTTCTACTCTTTCCCTAAACATTCCAACCCAGGAAGGGAAAGGAAGGTTTACATGAAATATACAAGCATGCCGCCTGATTTTAATTTTAATGCCAAAAGTCTGGTGGACAGCATATAAATACGTAGGCAAGCTCTACTGTATAAAACAGATCAGCAGACAGCAGCACATCAATCGAAAGGACAAACATAACTAAGAATATGCAAAAGGACAGATGTTGTTTTTAGAATCAATGACATGATGCACTTCTATTATGTATTATCCCTTAAAACAATAAAATATTTAGAGTTCCAAGGGATATTATTATGATATAAGCTTTGCTTAAGAAATAATGTCAGTCTAGTTAGGATTCAAGTGCCATTTAGCAGGTTTGTCAGTAAACCCTGAATATATCCATAGTTTACCAGATACAAATTCTCCCTTATCTTCTGTTTAACTATAATTCTGGAATTTGATATATATACATATACACACAAATATACATATTTCAAATTATCAAACAAATTAAATTCAAAGGGGCATTTTGGAAAATGCAATACTTTGATAAAGATAAAAAATTCAAAGAAACTATTTAGCCGCAGTTGCACACAAACCGCTGGCATTTTCTACATGAAAAGTGTGCAGTTTCAGGCAATTTAAGCAACAGAAGGCAATATGACCCATACCACAACATATGAAAAAGGCTATCAATAAGCCATAATCTCAAGTCCTGGTAATAAACTTTCTGTACCCCAAGACACTATTTAAGTAACTTAAACCTTTCCCCCAGGAGATAAAATAAGGATAATACTTATCCCTCCACAAGATGCAACCATAATTACACATTCATGCAGATAGTGTATGAAAATGATCTGCACTTATGTACACTAATGAAATTGATATTAATAATCAAGCTCAGAAATCAGTTTGAAGCAATGTATGTGAAAAATGCGTCATTAAAGTAAAGTAAGTTTTACCTTCTCTTCTCCAGCGATGTCGACGGATTGAAGCCGTAGTAATGGCAGTCCGAGAAATTCTCGGAACTGTTGGAGTAACTTCTACTTTTAAGACCTTCTGTCCTCCTTGTGATGCATCTGGAGCATCAAAGGGTAATGAGTTCTTCATAGCATTTGCAACCTATGAAAACAGGAAAACCTTATATAAATGTTACCTTTCCACAAACCGATATTTTAAAAGACAGGATAAGGAAATGGTGAGAAAGCTTTACCGTTGCAATCCAAGAGGTTATGCTTAATAGGCAGAAGACGCCTGCTGTGAGACTTAGGACCAGTTATACTCAAACAAACCCAATTGACATCTGTATTGTCAAAATTAAGAAAAGAAAACCTCACGATCCCTCCTTGAAAGAAGGGCAGGGCAGAGTGCAGCACCCACATGATAATAATTTGCTGTTGTTGTTGTTTGCTCTCCATTACAAATAGTCCCTTATGTGGCTAACTATAAAATACAAGATAAAATGCCAAATCATGATGTTTACTTTTCCCAATTGAAAGAGAGAGAGAGAGAGAGAGAGATATTCTACACCACTGTATGGCAGGTGTGAAAATTATGTTACAGTGCTATCCCTTCAGTCATAACCAGCATAGTCAATACTGATGGGTGTTGTGGGCAACAGTTTAACTTGGAAGGTTGCATGATTACTGCCTTTGCTGTGGAAAAAAAAGTGAAGTACAGACAGTCCCCCAGTTAAGAACAAGAGAGGTTCTGTAGGTTTGTTCTTAAGTTGAATTTGTTTGGAAGTCAGAACAGGTACATTTTTAAGTGTAACTCCAGCCTATCTATTTGTCTGTCTGTCCATCCACACATATATGTGCGCTCTCTCTCTCTATATATATATATCTACACACACACACACACACACACACACATACATATACATATGAAATTGTATAACAAAGGGAAGGGTTAACACCCATGTAGTGTTTTTTTGCTGTCTGTGCCCCTGATCAGAAGATCACTGGATTTTGAAAAAAATTGGCTTGTGGAAACAAGGATTGGTGATAAAGCTTCAGTGGATACACCTTTTCCCCATGATAACTCTTTCAGGAGTGAATTTCCCTTCCAATGGGTAGATTTCTCTCACTTCCTGTTGTCTCACCCTGTTTGTAACTATGAGTCAGTTTTAAGTCAGCTGTTTGTAACTCAGGGACTCCCTGTACTGAAAGATGACCCCAAATATAAAAATAAGCCATGATTAATTGAAAACGAAAGCTATTAATATACTCCCAGAGGAGGAAAGAGGTAGGTGGGAAATGAGACGCACAAGGCACATTCATGTGACGCTAATGCAGTAGCTAGGCTTTATAGTGTCATGGTCCCCTCAGAGCATCTGATGAAAGCTATGCAGTTAAACACAATATTTGTAACTAGAAGGGAATAAAAAGAAAAACATATATCTCTCTTCCTATGGTTCACTGATGCCTTGAGCTCATCTATGTCCCCCTCGGGGTCCTAGGGCCACAAGTTAAGAATCCCTGTGTGATACAATACAGACCTGTATTTTCAATCATATTTGAAATATTATTTAAAGCATTACTGTAAGAAGCCAGACACTTGCATTTCTCTTTGGGGAAAATGAAACAGAATGTGAGAACAAGAATGTTCAAGGTCACAGGCAGACAATCCATCCTTCTAGGACCCGATTAACACTTTTAAGACCTCTTTGGAAATAAGCTGCACTCAGTTTAATATTTAATTAAAAGAAGACACTTCCAAGAGAAGAAAGTGGGCTGTAAAGAACTAACAAATGATTCTGAGGATGCTTGCCATAGATGCAGGCGAAACGTCAGGAGAAATGCCTCTAGAACATGGCCATATAGCCCGAAAAAACCCACAAGAACTGAGTGATTCCAGCCATGAAAGCCTTCGACAATACATTTAACAAATGATTGAAAGGAAGATGTGATTGCTCCTATATTAGTACTACAAAATAAGGCAAATCAAACAGGAATAGCTGTCAGTTTAAGTTTCTATCGGGCTCACTGCTCAGCTTTACTCAAAAATGAAACATAAGCTGAAATATCAATCCACCTTCAAGCTTTTTAGTCTAGCTGCTATCAGAGGTAGCCCCATAGAAGTGCAATGTTTTATTTACATTTTCTATCTAGTAGTGCATTCACTCATGTCTAAAAGAAAAAAAACCTGCTCCGACATTTTACTGTGAGGACTTATATTGCTATATTGAAAAACATACAGCTATATATCCTTGCCAACAGTAATTCATTAAGAGGGACATTTAGCTAAATTTATTGGAAAGATTAAAATGCTTTTTTCATTTGCCAAGAAATGATCCCACAGTATTCCCTTGCCAAAAGGCTAGCATTTAAACCTCTGCTTCCTCCACACATACTTATTTTCCTTCAGTATGATTAGTTGATTCTTCTGCAAGAATATATGATTTAGCAATACTTCGTTGTTTATGAAATACATCTTGTATCAATACTCTGCCTTACATCTTTAGAATAATTTTATTGTCATTGTACATTATACAACAAAATTAAATGCCATCTCCAATACACATGTTGAATTACAAAAACAAAATACTCATCCTTCCACATTAGCAGCTGCAAACCTGTCTCAAACCTGTCTTACCCTATCCATAGATAGTCTAGCAGGGAAGGGCACAGGTAGAAGGAGATGATGGGTGCAACAGGAATTGACACCAGCCTATATTACTGCTTCCTTGTCAAAGTGACACTTTTACATAAATTAATTGCTGGCCCATTGGTCCATTTTCTCTATATATTCATCTTGTCCATCATCACTCATAGAGGAAGATGTTGAACTCCCATTTCAATATCAGTTCTTTCTTTGTATGTATGTGTACATATAGGTAAAATCAACTACTTCATCAGTTTTTACGTTATGGTTATTATGATTTTCTATGAGCAAGCAGATAAAGACTGGCAGATGGAATATGTTCTGTATCTCAAAACTAGAGCCGATAGGGTAAAACTGGTACAATTTTTGGAATCAGCAGGTCAAATATACCCAGAAACAGGGCTAATATTTGAGACCCCAAAATGTGTGTTGGGAGTCTTATTTCTTAGGTACCATAACTGCCTATCTGTGCAAAATTATATGTATAAAACTATAATAATAATAATAATAATAATAATAATAATAATAATTCAGTTCTTGTGGTTTTTTTCAGGCTATATGGCCATGTTCTAGAGGCATTTCTCCTGACGTTTCGCCTGCATCTATGGCAAGCATCCTCAGAGGTGAGGTCTGAGGATAATAATAATAATAACAACAACAATAATAATAACAACAATAATAATAACTTTATTTTGTACCCCAATTCCATCTCCTTAAAGGGACTCGGGGTGGCTTACATATGAGATTAAGTGCCTAAAAACAATGCATAAAATAAACACACAGTACAATACAAAAATAAAACCAATAGCACGTAAACACAACAATTTAAAACTCAGAACAATGCCCAATAACCTATGGTGACAACTGCCGTAAGACATGGCCAAACGGTAAGCAATAGAGGGAATGGGATAGTGCAAATTGTAGCTAAGAACCAAGAGCATGGGATAAAAATGCAGTGTCGTGTCATTAATTGCAGACAATTGGGGCTAGACATTCTCAAAGGCTTGTTTAAATATCCAAGTCTTCAAATCTTTATGGAAGGAGGACACTGTGGGGACCTGCCTAATTTCCCTGGGGAGGGCATTCCAAAGCCAGGAGGCGACCACCAAGAAGGCCCTCTCCCTTGTTCCACCAACCGCGCTTGTGACAGTGGCAGAACCACGAGGAGGGTCTCCCTGGAAGATCTTAACAATTGCACAGGTACATAGGTGGGAATGTGGTCACAAAGATAGGCAGGACCCGAACTAGAGAAAATCAAACTATGTATCTGTTCAACTCCCAACCATGCTGAAGGACTGCATACGACCCCATCAGATGTCATCTAAACTTTCTGCTTATCATCACAATATCTTATATATTGGAACGTTATTTATGCTGCTGTTATTCACACGTTAATATGTCAATAACTAACTAGAGCATGAAGACCAGACTTGGTTAAGCCAACAACTTAATTATGAATCCAGAGAAACATCAAATTTGCTTTTCTGTTGATTCTGCACAGCAAACTGGTTTTGAAAATGTGAGAGGTAGAAAAATAAAATGTTAAACATTATATGCTATGGCAGAGAAATCAGCTGCGTGGTAAAGGAGAAAAATAACCATTGGCACAAGCCTCTCATGTTAGGAGTGGGTGAATGTCAGCCATGCTGAATCACAAATCTTTGCTAGTTGTGTGCCATTCACAAAATAGCTCACAAATGGGGGAGAATAAACATTGTTTACCTAAAAATAAATACACATTTGTTCATGAATAACATCAATTAAAAGTAAATGTGTAATACAATTTCTGGTTAACATTTTCCCCCCAAAAAATCTAATTTAACCATAAAGAGGTCTGCATCCTTCTCATCCTGCTCACTTGGCTCTTTTCTCTTAGTCAGAATAGTGAGGACTCTCCATCCATGTTTTGTTTCAATGTGATATCTGAAATAGGAAATCTCAGTTCTCAGGAAAAGACAAAGTACCATCATATGCCAAGATCAAACCATGGCTTACGACTCCAGCTGCTGTGTAGCCAGTTTGAATCTCACACTAAATGAATCTCAGATGGACAGTCCCTAGCTTGTTTAAATGGCCTCTGCAGGGAGGGGCAACAGCAAGCAAGAACAGTCAAACAGCATGGACCAGCTCACAGACTCATGCCTGGTAAGCCATGTTTTTCTTTTAAAAGATAAGGTTTCTGCTTACTGCAATGTCTAACCATACTCATTCCCATGAATAGCCAAATAAAAACATGTACAGCCGCTGTATTGCTTACTATTCCTTCTGCCAAAGCAAACATACAAGTGTGGGCTGTAAGTAGAGGGGCTCACAGCAAGCAGATAAACACACTTCAGGCAGCCTGAGAAAGCTCTCCAGATTACTAACTGCTGATCCTGTTACCTTGGCCTTCAAAGAGATAGATGTGTGGGGAAATAACATGCCAGACTAGAAGATGTTTCTTCCATTTCCACACAAATTTATTTCAAGACTGGAAGGCAAACCACCCTTCATTTAAGTTCCAGCTTGGCTTGAATCTTCAACAGAGCAGGAGCTATATTATCAGCAGTACTTGGTAGTAGAAATCTTGGCTTTCTAACTCCAGGACCTTTTTCCTTTGCTGTGTCATAATCTGCTTTTCTTTGAATCAAGAAGTGAAGGTGAGAGTGGCATAGTGCTGGCCATCAGAAACTAGATCAAGCTAATCCCTCTATATGGCCCTTTTCAAAAACCGATACACCAAGTTCCACTTATACTCTGGAAACAAAGCAAACATGTGTATGATTCCCCCAAGACCAGTATGGCCAAGAGCACCAGTGAAAATAAAGTTCACTGGTCTACCTCCAAATCTTCTTGAGTGGTTTCCTGCCCATCATCATCACCACATGCTATCATTCGTGGCCAAGTATGATTGCCTTCCAAGTTACAGCTTAATGGTGCAACATTAGAAAATGTTGACCATTTCCGCTACCTTGCAACCACCTCTCCACAAAAAGTCAACATTGACACTGAAATACAACACCGCATGAGCTATGCAAGTGCAGCGTTTTTCCGAATTAAGCAGAGAGTGTTTAAGGACTGGGACATCCGTAGCGAAACCAACGTGCTTGTTTATAAAGATATTGTCCTCCCAACCCTGCTATACACCTGTGAAACGTGGACTGTCTACAAACATCACAATTCAACTCCTGAAACGATTTTATCAATGTTGCCTCTGAAAAATCCTGCAAATCTCTTAGGAAGACAGGCAGACAAATGTCAGTGTGATGGAAGAAGCAAAGAACACCAGCATTGAAGCGATGCTCCTACGGCATCAACTTCGCTGGACTGGCCACATTGTCCAAGTGCCAGATCACTGCATCCCAAAGCAGTTACTATACTCCCAACTCAAGAAGGGAAAACATAATGTTGATGGACAGGAAAAGAGATTTAAAGATGGGCTTAAAGCTAATTTTAAAAATTGTGGCATAGACACCGAGAGCTGGGAAGCCCTGGCCCTCGAGTGCTGTAGCTGGAGGTTAGCTGTGACCAGCAGTGCTGTGGAATTCGAAGAGGCACAAATGAAGGGTAAAAGGGAGAGACGTGCCAAGAGGAAGGCGCATCAAGCCAACCCTGATCGGGACCGCCTTCCACCAGGAAACCGATGTCCTCACTGCGGAAGAACATGTGGATCAAGAATAGGTCTCCACGGTCACCTACGTTTCCACTGCCAAGACACTAAACTTGGAGGGCTATCAACCTCAGGCTACAAAGGATCACCTAAGTAAGTAGGGTCTTGGCAGTGGGTCCATAGGAGACTGTAGAGACCGATTCTTGATCCGCATGTTCTTTCGCAATAAGGACATCAATTTCCAGATGGAAGACAGTCCCAACAAGGATTGGCTTGACATGCCTTCCTCTTGACACATTTTTCACTTTCACCCTCCTTTCATTCCCCCAAGATCACTTTGGCCAATAGCACTAGTGAAAGAAAAGTTCACTGGTTTACCTCCAAATCTTCTTTCAGTTGAGTGGTGACCTGCCCATCTCTATCTTCAATGGGCTGAAGCTTGGATACCAAGCTAATTAGGACCCAAGCATTCCTAGTTTCATAAAACTGTACTGTAGTTACAGTCTTCCTTGGACAGAGATAACATAGACAGAGCAGTTGATGTGACAGTAGTTTTCCAATTAAACCAATGCAACATGCTCGATATAGGTCTTGAAGATATTACAGATACTGAAAAAATGTACCAGCTAGATGTCAACCAGAACACTGCATAGAAACTGCTTAACACTCATCCTGAATTTACATGAGATATCAGTCTGCTTATTCAAAGCCCTATACAGCTTGGGACCTCAATTTTGAAGGAGTCTCCCACTACAGAATCCTGTCTGAGGGTTAAGGTCATCCTTTGTGTTTCACCTGTTGGAACAACATACCCCGTGAAGCCATGGGAGAGGGCTTTCTCCTCTGTGGCACCCCAGCTGTGGAATATCCCTTAAAAAGGCCTGATTGGCGCAAATTCTAGTGTCATTCTGGCTTCATGTTCCAAAGCCTCTTAGGTCAAAATCATTTAAAACATCTCTAGAAATGCTATTTTTTATTTTAAGCTGTTTAAATTGGTTTTAAACTATTTGGCTTTAACTTGTAAAATTGTTTACTATCCTTGCTAGTGTGTTTATGTAATTTTTTCAGTTCAAAATTTGCTTTAATAGTCAAGTTGTATGCTATACCAAGATCTTTAGATATAGGGTGGGACATTTTTTAAAGAATATTTATTTAGAGCATTTTTACCCACTCTTCAGACAAAATGGTTCCCAGTGCAGCTTAAATAACTAAATAATAGCAAAATTAATAACAAAATGGAAAATAAATAGCATTACAGATGCTACTGCCCAGAAGAGTAAATTAAATTGGAAAGAGAATCAGAATGCTATACAAGCCATTTAGGAGTAACCTATTGAGATTAGTAATGCATGCATATTTTAATCACATCAATGGACTGCAGCATTTCTTTCCCTTACCAACAGTGGCTGAGAATAGAGTTCAAGCTGTGCTCTGTAAATTATGTCATCCAGCGCTTCTTGGCCAATTTCCCACTGCCCGTTGTAACTGCATATGGATAAAAAGGAAGCAAGTGATTACTTTTCTGAACCAACGTTTTATATCCTCATCTTTTATCTTCCAAACACAGCTCCTGAACACAGGTCTTCTGCACTTTTGCGGGATCAATAATTAGATTGACAACCAATCATTCCAACTGCATTCTGCTTGCCTTCCAGTCTGAACAGTGTCATTAGTAAGATTATAATTCAGTAGAAAATATACCATCTATACTCGAGTATAAGCCGACCTGAATATAAACCGAGGCACCTAATTCTATCACAAAAAACTCGTATTGGCTCGGGTATAAGCTGAAGGTGGTAAATTTCAAAATAAAAATAGATATCAATAACATTATTAATTGAGGCATCAGTAGGTTAAATGTTTTTGAATATTTACATAAAACTGTAATTTAAGATAAGACTGTCCAACTCTGATGAAACCATTATTCTTACCTTCTTCAATGTAAATGCACTTACGTATCCTTCCAATAATAATAGAGTAAAATAAAAAAATGTAATAATGATAATAAGAATAACAACAGAGTAAAATAATAAATAACTTTGACTCCAGTATTAGCCAAGGGGGGCTTTTTCAGCCTAATTAAAGGCTGAAAAACTCAGCTTATACTCAAGTATATACGGTATATACTTCAGATACATACACAATCAGGTTATTTTCCACAGCAGCACATCACACAAAAGAACATATTCACAAAGAACAAAGGTTAACTATTTGTTAAGTACTCCAACAGCGGGTTATTCAGGCAGACTCAACTTTTTTCATTATTGTTTTTTCTGTGCACATAGACACACAAACAACTTGGGTGTACTCACATGTATACAGTTAATTGTAGGAGTATATAATTCTCTTTTTTAAAGGTATGCTGATGTGATAAGTCTAAAACAAGCCAGAAGTGCAAACCTTCAGGATCTACATTGATGGATTCACAAGCTAATAGAGGCTCATAAGGCAAATCAGAAGGAAAAAATCAATGACAAAAGGGGCTAGTGTTCAATGCTCGAGGAATGTGATTAAAAAAATACATCCCTGCCTGGTTTGATTAATACCAGGGAACTCTTCCATATACAAACTTCACATACTTACACAGCATAATAGACTCCAGTGAGTAGTTGTACCATGAATTCAGGATCCAGTACCACTCTGCAATACTCTTCCTTCCAGGGTTTTTCATGTTGCCGTGGAAACCCACACACACAGAGTCTGGGAAAAGATTGTTTATTAGAAATGGACTCACATATTTTCATGATGTTAACTACCGTACATACCGAGACAGATTCTAATCTGTAATACAGAAAGAGGAGGAGTGAAATCAATGGGGGAGTCAAACTAATTGAAGTCCCATTGCATTCAATGGGTCTCATAGAATCAAAGAATCATAGAGGTGGACCTTGTTGGCCTTCAACGCACCCCCTGACAAGGGCCATCCAGCCCCTGTTTAAAAACCTCCAAAGAAGAAGCCTCCACCACATTCCGGGGCAGAGAGTTCCACTGCTGAACAGCTCTCACAGTTAGGAAGTTCTTCCTCCTGTTCAGGTGGAATCTCCTTTCCTGTAGTTTCCTCCAGAAGCAAAATCAGAGGGCCAATTCCTCCCCTCCTCCTTCCCACACATACACCCAATCAGCTTCTTAGGACACTTAGGTCCTCTGAGGGGTGGCTATTACAACCAGCTAGAACCCGACTGGCAACCACCACCCAGAAAACCTTTTCATCAGCCATCCCAAGACTGTGGAACGACCTGCCAGAAGAGCTTCAACAGCTAAATGAGCTGTCAAACTTTTAAGACACAATGAAAGACCCATCTTGTCCTGCAGGCCTACCCAGTCAACTTTGAACCATCAGTTTTAGATTTGCATTGTGTGTTTGCTGTATTTTGCTCTTTGTATCATGTGTTTTGGTGTCTCTACTTTATAATAGTGTGTGTTTGTTTGATGTATGTATTTTATGTTGTTGTGTTTTGACTGTTTTATACTCCGTCTCCAGTTATGGGGAGAGGTGAATAACAAATAATAATAATAGTAATAGTCCTTTATCAGCAAAAGCAAGTAACCCTTTGGCCGCTAAAAGAATGATAAATGGAGAAGGAACTGAGCTCTGATAATGCATATCTTGGTGCCCAAATTCGTCTTCCTCCATATATATTTTTCAGGAACACAGTTTGGGTGCTCCTTTTCTTTTCTATTCCTTATTCATTAATTTCAACACAAAGAATCTAATCCACTATCAAACTAATATTCAGGGGGAAAATACAAAATAAAAAAATGAAATAAAAAGATTTTTGGATTCTAGCCTAAATACAGTGATTCACTGTGCTGAATCTTGTTTACTTGACTTAATAGAGAATATCTAAATCGCATATGTCAAACGCAAGATCCGCAGCCCTCCATGTCATTTTATGTGGCCCTCCTCCAGATGCTGGACTACAACTCCTGTATTCCTAATCATTAGACATCATGACTAGATCTCATCAATCAATCATCAGTCATAATACAGTAACATCTGGTATGTTACTGTTTATTCTGTTTAGTCAGGAAAGTGGGATTAATTCAGATATAAGGTTTGTAGAAGTTATGTCTGATTTCAAAATACCCTTTAACCTTTCCCCAACCTCAGAGCTAAAGGGCTGGGGGTTGCAATTCCCATTAGCCCCAGTCCACGTGCCGGATAATCAAAAGTGATGGGAGTAGTCATTCAATAACATCTGGGAACCAAAACTGAGTAAAAACTAAAGATTACCAATCACTATGAAAAAAATTATAGTTGGCCCTCTGTATCCATGGATTCTCCATCCATGGATTTAATGGTCTTTTGAAGGTGACCATAAGGCTGAGGTGTCTCTTGATGAAAATGAGTTTGAAACTTCTGATCTAGATGATCTACGTTCCTTTATGGGTCTCCAATAAATGAGACTAAACATACCATATGATCAAATGCATAGGATAGGGACAGAGATGGATACTTCTCATATAAGAAAGAACCAGATACTTCAGTGTTAAGTCAAATATAACAATACACGAAACTTAAGTGTTTTCCTTTGAATATTGATTACATATTCGCCTCTACACCATCGATACAAAGTTAACATACTCCTGAAACAACTTCAAATTTCTCACCTGGAACTCATCCTGCAAAGTGACTGATAGGAAGAAGCAGGCATATAGACAATAGCAGAGTTGTAACAGAGCATAAGAAAGCTCAGAACCTCAAACCTAAGGAGACACAAGTTCAATAAAACAGTGGGATTCTCATTTTGTATATTAAATAATTAAATTGCTGGGTCCTCTAGGACAAAAGAATTATCAAAGCATACATCTTTTCTACTTCATCCTACTTGGGTTTGAAATAGAGGTTAGAAGATGTAAAGATGTAGTTAGCTACTGAAAAAATATTAGATAAAAAGCAAAGAATTTCCATAATTCCACACAGTTGTTGTGGTTCAGCAGCAACAGCATGATGGGACTGAGGGTGCAGATGAGCATGATGGGAATGGGAATACAGATGCAGGTGTGGGATTTCAGATTTCTCAGTTTTCTCAGCCACAGTCTGTAGCTAGAGAGAAACCATTGTTATCACAGGAACGGAATGTGGCTGATAAAACAGCTAGTGAAGATCAGACTGTGCCGCAGGTGTTAAGAAGGAGTTTACGAATTGCGGCCAAGTCTTGAGCCCATCCGTTGGTGGGAAAACTGCTTGTTAGCTGTCTGTTTAATGTTCAATGTTTTGATGTTTTACCTATAAGTAAACTGCCTGGGAACTGATTCGGCGTCAGTTTCAACGTTGCAAAAATGGCTCGCGTTGTCTCCTGCTCTGGGCCTTGGACCTTGAGAAAGAAAGCCTGCTTCATGTAACCTCATGCTATTTCCTGGATTTTATGCTGCTTCTTGCTTCAAGTTTCCTGCTTTGACTCAAAGGGAATCTATTGGATTTTTACCTTGTACTATGGACTTTTTACTGCTTATATTCTGATTTGTTTGAAACTTCACAATAAACTTCTTTCTTCATAAGTTTGGCTGGTTTGTCAGAGAGAGCAAGGTGAATTTTAGCCTGAGATACAACAGTTTGGAACTGACCAACAACAAAGTCCTTGCTTCTCCCAGCCACCATGAATCCTGCAGAGGCTCAGGCGATGCAACAGCAGCTGCAGAACCTTCAGCAGCAGATAGCCACGATGCAAGCGCAAGGAGCAGCTAACCCTCCGGCCCAGCCGCTAAGGACTCCTATGGCGTTGCCTAACAAGTTCTCTGGAGACAGTCAACGGGTCAAGGACTTCCTGGGGCAGTGTGATGCCTACCTCACAGTGCGGGCAGCGGAGTTCCCGAATGAAGCAGCCAAGGTGGGCTTTGCCTACAGTCTGTTGGAGGGCCCGGCCCTCTCCTGGGCCACCGCGCTACATGAGGCCGCTTCCCCTGTGTGCAACACTGTCAAGGCTTTCATGGATGAACTGCACAAAGTCTGGGGAGGCCAAGTGCACCGGGAGATGGCGGATCGTAAGCTGCGAGCCCTAACGCAAAGAGAGGGGTGTTTGGCCCAGTACATCTCGGAGTTTCGTGTATTGCAGCAGGAGCTGGCTTGGAATGATGCCACCTACATGAGCGCCTTCAAGGCGGGGCTCACCCGGGAGATGCAGTTGGAGGTGGCCCGTTCCGCTGTCCCAGCCGACTTGGAAGAATTGATGACCCTATGTATCCGGATAGATGGGACCCTGACCAACCAACGTCACATCCTTGCCGGGCCCCGGCCAGTTGGTCAAAAGGGGGCCGATGCGGGAGTGCCACGTCGCTTGGGACCGCCGCCATCTCTTGCGCCCGATGCAGAGGAACCCATGCAGCTGGGCTCCATGCGCCCCAAAATTGATGCAGCGGAAAAGGCGCGACGGCAACGGCTAAATCTATGTTGGTATTGTGGGGGCAGCGGACATTTCTCTCGGGAGTGTCCAGTAAAGAAGAAGACAAGTCCCCGCCTGGCAGGGGTCTCCGGCTCAGTGGAGCCCATGGCGTCCCAGGCCCAGATGTCTGGTGAGCAGTGGGCCGAACAGCCGGCGGGGGAAGGCAACGACCGAGTTTAGCTGGGCTCGCCAACTCGG